TCGGCCTGAAGGCCACGCGGCACGTGCAGCGCAGCGCAGCACAGGCCTGTGTATATAAATTACAGATTACATTAGTAACACACGGGCTTCTCAGTCCCTAAGCCCAAGGCCCAAGAGAGCAGACATGGCCTGTTCGAGATCACCAGCTCCTCGAATGCCACGTCTTCTGCAAGGCTCCCAATGCACGGTCCCCTCTCTTCCTCCGCAGGGGGAACTCTCCACCTTCTGGGTTTGGCAGGGAAAGTGAGCAAGCTTTGCTGACACCCTGTGAGCAAAGTCTCTCATCAGAGGTATTTGTGAGCACTTCGTCCTTGACAAAGCTCTGACAGCATGGAAAGACCTCGCGACGCGCGAGGCCGAACCGCTGCGCTTTCCGCAGCGCGGAGCTTCGGGTGCTGGGGAGGAAAGGCCTGCGTGCCACACAGCGCAGCTGCACCGCTGGGAGGAGGTTCCTGCACAGAAGAGTAAATCTCATTTTTCTGCCAACGAAGCGTTACCATCCCTTTCAAACTTACAAGCGGGCTTCAAAGAGATTGTCCAATTACAACGTTTGTAACCGGAAGCATGTATCAGCCCTCACTCCCCGGCTACGGGGTGAGGAAAAAAAAAAAGGTGCCGCAAAGGCTCGTAAAGACGTGTCATTATGTGGTAGCAACCGCAGTCAAACCATTTTTTTCCCTTTCCTCTTACATCACCCGGAGCCAGCGGAGCCTGGGGGTGTGCTCCTTCCTCGGCCGGGCACAGAGCCCTGGTCTGCAGGAACAGAAACAGAAAGGAGGACAGCACCAAAGGAAAAGAGCGGAGCCGGAGGGTTCACGGGGAGAGGAGAAGCCATGTACAAGAATGTGGTAGCAACCGCAGTCAAACCATTTTTTTCCCTTTCCTCTTACATCACCCGGAGCCAGCGGAGCCTGGGGGTGTGCTCCTTCCTCGGCCGGGCACAGAGCCCTGGTCTGCAGGAACAGAAACAGAAAGGAGGACAGCACCAAAGGAAAAGAGCGGAGCCGGAGGGTTCACGGGGAGAGGAGAAGCCATGTACAAGAAAAAGCTGAGAGGGTAAAAAAAAAAATTGCTGACCAAAAAAAAAACCACTCCAGCTTCAGCTCTGTGTTGCTCCACCCCAAGGGGACCCCTCGCTTTGTTGCCCCAGGGGTTTGCTTTCTGTCTGTGCAAAGTCTCTGCCTTGCTTGGGGAAGGGCGAGGGTGACACTGGTGCCAGCGTACCCGAGAGGGAGCCCCGGTCCCCGGTGTAACTGCAGCGGGCGAGGGGGCTGCACCAAAGTCTGAGCCTGTTGGGCAAGTTCCCGCCAGCATAAAACTTTCGTGGGAGCCATAAAATGGCAGGGAACAAAAGGCGCCGATAAAAACGAGTGAAGGATGGGTGTGGGTTGAGGAAGGGCTAAGGCGGGAGCTGGCTCAGCCTAACGCTGGGCAGCAAGAGAATCATAAAAAGAATTGACTGTTTCGAGGTCTTGAAAAGGCTGTTGTGCCACAAAATAAACAGGAAGTGTCAGACCAGACATTTTCTGTCCAACAGAAGGGAAAAAAAAAGTTTTAATGCAAAGTTTAGTAAAGAAGTGCATCGGCTGTGCAAAGCATTAGCAATGGTGGAAAAACGCAGATTAAAGAAGTTTTGACACATCTATGCTTGTACATTTTTAGGTACTATCATTATTACTATTATTATCTTGCAACGAGCAGAATTTTAAATAGTTCCTAATAAAAAGTGTTAGAGGAAGGAAGGAAAATTATTAAATATCTATAATAGTGCAGTTTATTACACAAAGTTTGAATAAGAGAGGTATTAGTTTTAGGAGCTGTTTTCGTAAAAGTAGTACATTTTAAAATAAACTGATTGCATTCCTGTTCAAGTTACGGATGATGGGACAATAGAAGAGTATAAATAACACATTTTAATAATATTTGTAATCAGTAAATATGTTTTTCAAGGTTTAATGCACATTTACTTAGCAGCTGCATACTAATGGAAAAGAAAATAAAGCCTAGGAGACAGTTATGTTGGCTGTCATCCCTCTGCCATTTTCTCTCCTAACTCCTCTAAACATTTTTGAGTGCAATTCACCTTTCAAATATTCAGTCAGTCTTTACAGTTAGTCTATTTCTCTCCAGCTCTTAAATTCTGAAAGGGTTACAAGTTCACCTTCATAAGATTGATGAACCAAATTTAGAAAGAAAACTAAAAATATTTTAGGACTTTTAAATTTTTTTTTTATTTGCTAACTCTTAATTTTGTCTCATATTTGTATCAAGGAACCAGCTATTAAGTGCTTGATTTTTTTGAGTTAGGCTCCCTTTGTATATGTGTACCGTACATAATAATGCTGAACAGCAAGGACTGTTCGTGATAGCAATAGAAGTAAAAAAATTAAAGTGATTGCATGGCTTTGGGCAATTTATCTGTAAACCCACAACTTAAAGTATTTTCTTATCTGGTTTGGGGAGAAAAGGGAATAGGTGCTGGGATTATGTATATATTCTATAGCATGGGAATGTTTTATGATGTTTTTAAAATTTCTTGTCTGTCCTTCTGTTAGAGCTGTTTAAATTTACATTAATCCATTATTTAAAAAATAGCATGTTATAGCTGTAGCAGATTTTTATAAGAATGCAGACTTTTGTTTATATTGCATTAAGTTGATTACACAATACATTTCACTTGGTTTAACATATCTTTAAGGTGGCTTTATCTTGAAGATTAGTGTACTGCAAGATTGTCCTAAAGAAATGGCTTGTGTCCCTGAAAATATGCACAGGACACCCACTGCAATAGCTTATCCAAAGTGCAATATTTTATGGTCAAGACACAGGCAAGAGGGTGCTTAAGACCAGTTTAAGTAAGATCTGAAAATTTTAACTTGTCTGCATGTTATAATCAGATGGCAACAACTACAGATACCTTTGAACAAATCAGATCTCTGTAATCTATTGTAACACTGCTTTCCAAAACCTTAAAGATATCTTCTGTAAGAATTAGATGAACTGATATAAAGGATATATTCACGACCAACACTGGCAGTCTTTGTATAGTTGCTTAATTGACAATATTTAGAGGTCTGTTCTGAACTGAATAGATCTGGATGTAAGAGATGGACTATCTGTCAAAAAACGTCATTCTTGGGAGCTGCATCTTGTTGTATAGAGCACTTCTTTTTCCTTCTCTCATGTAGGATTGTGCTGACTGTTCTAATCCTTATGAAAATACAAACAGCAAGAGAATCCAATAAGGAGAAATACTCAGATTCATAATTTATCAGTGGTTTTATTTTCTTTCTTTTTTTTTTTTTTTTAGTTTTTACAAAATTCACAATGGCTCCCTACATCGAAAAGGGCTACATAGGAGCCCTGGAAAAATGTCTGACGCAATAAAGAGATATGGAAAGCTTTTAGAAATCCTCACGTTGATGAGGAAGAGGACAGCCATAGGGAGGGGTGAGGAGGTGAAAGTTCTGCATGCAGTTGCAGAAGGGGGGATTAGGTGGTTCAGGGTTTGGTTCCTTCACCCTGCTATGGTGCCTACCTCTCCATTTACCTTGCATTGCTCTCTCATGTTTTGCCCTTCTCAGTTCTCCTCTCATTTCCTCCACCCTCCCCCTTTTTTGTGTTCTGGAGAACTACCGAAAACAAAGTTGTAACCAGTGATTCCTTGAAGTTTCTCTTCTGTTTCAGCATGTATATATCTAAGAAGGTGTTAAAGCATCATTTCGACCCCCGTAAGGCTCCATGGGAGACATACCTACTATGCAAACTGCAGTGGGGTGAGGATGGCAAGCGTTGGATACACTGGGTCAGAAATGAGCATTATTACCATGCTGAAGTCTACTTCCTAGAGAAGATCTTTAAGATGAGAAGATCCAATAATTATGTCAACTGTTCCATCACCTGGTACTTGTCCTGGAGCCCCTGTGCGAAATGCTGCCGTAAAATACTGAATTTCTTAAAGATGCACTCAAATGTGAAGATAGACATATATGTAGCACGGCTTTATTACATAGAAGATGAAAAAAATCGCCAAGGTTTGAAGAAACTTGTGAGCTTGGCAGGAGTAAAGATTGCTGTCATGGAAATTGAAGGCAAGGTTTCCCGTACTTTGTGGGACTGGGAAGGGGTGAACTGGTGAACTTTGTGCATGGGTGAACCTGGTATGGGCTTGTTTCTGTGCCCAGTGTCCTGCCCAGCTTCTTTGGGGGCACATCCATCACCATTCAGTGACTGAGTGTCGCATCCAAAAAAAGATGTTCAAATATTGCAGGAGAAGGGGAACAGGACTCTTAGCAACCAGAACTGTATGAAAATTCTCCCTTGTTTAGAGACACCGTCCTTCTGTCACTCCTGAGGGAATGGGAGATAGGGTGCTTCTCCCTTGTCCTAGGGGACTAAATCCAGCTGCTGGGATAAGGGTGGCTGAAGGAGCCCTCCGCTGACAAGAGAGGGAAAAAAAAATGCCCAGAGAGAATGGCATTGGTTCCAAATACGGAGTGGACATCATCCATCAGCTGGCCTGTCCACGGCCAAGCTGTCTCTGTGTCATGGGCACAAGGAAGAGGTTAAAAAGTCTTGTTCCCTGAGCTTTTCTGGTATCTGAATAAACTCAGGTTAGTCATCTTGCTTCCATTTCTCCAGACTATAATTACTGCTGGAAAAACTTTATCCAGGGAGATGCTGATGATGATTCCTGGACTGTGGGCTTTCAATCAGAGATAACTAAGAATCTTTTGAAGCTCAAGGACATCTTGAAGGTTAGTAGACTCTGAGGGATAGGGGGAACCACATGAAATGATTTGCAGTCTGGGGTCACTGAGCTGTAAAGAGCAGGAAAGAAGCTGTTCATATCTACTTGGAGTTTAAAGAGTGCTGCAGCATGCTTTTGGAAAAAGTAATATAGTAAAATCATAGGAACTATCCTGTCCCATTGGGAGAGAAGCACTGTGGATTTTCTTCCACCATATTACGAAGCAAAGGCTAAGAGTGCAGCTTTTCTCCTTCAGGCTTCAAAGTGGGAAATCCCTTGATTATCAGCTGAAACTCCAGTCTCATCCCAGAAACCCTCCACCAGATTCCTTTCTAATCTGGATGTGAACATGGGTTTCTGTTCACTGAATGATGATAGTCAGCCACTTTCTGTCAATATTTGCAGTGGTCTGACACCCCCTCCCAGTCACTGGGCCCCTATGTACTTCATTGAAGTCCCTTCCAGATTTGATTCAGCAACTTCCCTGACTGGTCCGAAGGGTACAGTTTCTGTGAGATGAGAAAAACTGTTCAAAACCCAATGTCTGTCCCCTGGAAAAATCCAACCTTTGTTTTTGTTTTGTGCCAGACCTCCTGAAAGCCAGGAGAGAGAAGAGAGAGTGTGTTCACCAATGGTGCTGAAAGTTTGTGCCCCTGGAGACAAGAGACCCTGCTAGAATGAAGAGGTCCACATCCTTGGCCCAGAAGGACCGTGTACAAAAAAAAAATCTAGCAAAACTAATATAAGTTCTGCAGCATTTTGATTTCAATGTATTAGAGTTTTCTGACAAATGCTATTTTTAGTGAAACAGAGTGAAAGAAATCTACAGTTAAGTAGGTCATTGAACATCTGGGAAATCCCTTTTATATGGCATCTGTGGAAAAGAAATATTCTGGGCTATTACAAGTAATGGACTTCTCCTGCTATGTCCATTTCAAATCACAGCAAGTCTAAAGTGCAACTGTTAAAGGATCTAAATGTCATATTTTTATTTTCATTTCAGGATCTTCCATTCATAGAATCATAGAATTATAGAATATCTCAAGTTGGAAGGGACTCAGAAGGATCATCGAGTCCAACTCCCTGCTGCTCGCAGAACTACCTGAAACTAAACCATGTGACTAAAAGCGTTGTCCACATGCTCCTTGAACTCTGACAGGCTTGGTGCCGTGACCACTTCCCTGGGGAGTCTGTTCCAGTAACTGATCACCCCCTCAGTGAAGAACCTTTTCCTAATGTCCAAGCTGAACTTCCCCTGACACAGCTTCATTCCATTTCCTCCTGTTCTATCGCTGGTCACCAGAGAGAGGAGATCAGCACCAGGATTACCCTGTCCCAGGTGGAGAATCTGGCACTTGCTCTTGTTAAATTTCATACCATTGGTGATTGCCCAGCTCTCGAGTCTATCCAGATCTCTCTGTAAATCTTCTCTACCCTTCAGGGAGGTCACAGCTGCTCCTAGTTTAGTATTGTCGGCAAACTTGCTTAATGTACATTCGATTCCCGTGTCCAGATCATTTCTAAAAACATTAAAGAACACTGGCCCTAAAATTGAGCTCTGGGGAACCCCCTGGTAACTGGCCGCCAGCCTGATGTAACCCCATTTACTATAACTCTTTGAGCCTGACCCGTCAGCCAATTGCTCACCCAACGTATTATGGACTTGTCTAGCTGTGTGCTGCACATTTTATCCAGAAGAATACTATGAGAGACAGTGTCAGAAGCTTTGCTAAAATCCAAAACCACTACATCTACTGGCTTTGCTTGGTCAACTAGATGGGTGACCTTGTCATAAAAAGAAATTAAGTTGGTTAAGCAGGACTTTCTCTTCATGAACCCGTGCTGGCTATCACGAATCACTGCGTTGTCTCTCAAGTGTTTTTCAGTAACTCCCAGAATAACCTTCTCCATAATTTTACCAGGCACTGAAGTGAGACTGACAGGCCTGTAATTACCGGGGTCTTCCTTCTTACCCTGCTTGAAATTGGGACAACATTTGCCAGCTTCCAGTCAACTGGGACCTCTCCGGCCTCCCAAGACCATTAAAAAATAATGGAGAGAGGTCCCACGATGACATCAGTGAGTTCTTTCAGTACCCTGGGACAAATCCCATTGGGCCCCATAGATTTATGTGCATCCAGATGGAGCAGCAAGTCTCGAACAAGTTCGGGGTTGGCTGGGACTTTATCACCTCCCAGTCATGGTCTTCCAACACAGGGCTCTGGGGCTCCCAGGGCCCATCATTGGTGTTAAAGACAGAGGTGAAGAAGGTATTAAATGTCTCTGCTTTGTCTACATCCCTACTTGTGAGGTGACCGACCTCATCAAGTAACGGACCAATGTTATCTCTCATCCTCTACTAAGAGATTTCACCCACAGAAGATGGCCAGCTGCCTTACTGCTTGTATGTAGAAGATAACAATAATAAAATGTTGGTAACATTCCTCAGTTTTTAAAAGCCACCAATATCCTGGACAGACAGCTTGTCACTGGGAGTCTTGAGTATACTGGACAGTGCTAAATATCCCCGATGAGAAACTTCTGGATGTGGAAACGGAGGCAGGTAGCAGCCAGAATGGGGAACAGTGTCCCAGACCCAATACTCTGCTAACGTTGTTCTTCCTCTGATGTGGCCCAGTGGTGCACAGGCTGATGGGAAAAGGGTACTTAAAGAGGACTGATAAATTAGCACCGAAACAGTTGATTAATTCACTGTAACTTACTTCAGCTGAGGCATTTTGATGAAAACAGGCTATTTCTTTGACTCTTGAAAAATGAATCTCTGGCAAGAGAAGGTCAGGGTGCCAAAAGGAACCTCTCTGGAGACTTGCTGTCCTCTCGGCTAGCCTTGTCTCCTACCTCATGCTATGAAAAGGAACAAAAGTGAACCTAAAAACACAGAAAATGCCCCATTGGGGCAGAAAGCATAGTCCAGACACTGTATTTAATAGTGGAAGGAGGAGATGCTTTTTAGGGAGAACCCAGACAAGCCTGGCCACTGTCTGTGGTTCATTATGATCCAGTCACACTACCTCAATACCCACAATGACTGTGGTTGGGAACCCTGCACCTTCCCTTTAGTGTCTGTTTATGGATTTGTTATCATGAATTTCTCAGATCTCTTTTGACCCTGTCCTGCCACAGTTTACTGGGGCAGCAGATTCCAGAATTTCACAGCTTGTCATATAAATAAGTATTTGTCTCTGTTTTAAACTGATCAACTAATCAAAATAAGTGTCAGTTCTTGCTATACTAATGTCTCATAATTAATTGCTGAAACACTTCTCTGCATTTGAAAGACTGTGCTAGCCTAGAGAATTTTCCACTGGCTCAGTGGGAGCTATAGCATGTAACTGACAGCGGCACTTGGTCTTAAAAGAGCAGCTTAAAAAGTCCACAGATGCTCCATTCAACAGAAGCAAATCCTCCATCCACCAAGTGGTGTGACTGTGGAATGATAATTACAGTATCCATGGTCATTGTATTTCAGCAGCTCCACTCATCTGGCTAAGAGAAGTAAGAAAGTATTTTTATCCACAAGCCCGTCCTGGAACTGGACCACTAGACGTATCCACTGGAAACTCCTTGAAAAGCAAGGCATATTAGGCTGCACAAAGAACTGTAGGAATGCAGCTGTATCCCTTGCAATAGTCAAGCTGGTTTGTTTGCTCCTCTGTCCAGTTGTTTGCTCCTCTGTACTGTGCAGAGGTACAAGCCCTGCTGTCAGTACCGAGTGCTTGGGAATAGAACCTCTCTCCATCCCCTATTCCTGACACTAGGTTATTTTTGCAAGACTAGGATAAATATTCATTGACTTATACCCATTTTAGTCATTGAACTCTAAAGCTATGATTGGGTCTGATTCTTATCTCACTTGTATTGCTAATCTTTTAGTGTAGTCAATAGAATCACTCAGGGGTTTGGACCAGTCTAGCCTAAAGAGAATCTGGCTTATGGAAACTAAAAGATGATAACCTGTAACTCGCAAAATGGCAGCACTCCTCAATTAAGTAATGTCCACTTTGGTAGATGTGTCCTCTTGTTTAGATACGGGTCTTTACATCTTACAACTTCAGGATGCTTTCAAGAGGCAGAGAAAATTGATCACACAAGTTGTTATGGGGGGGAAGAGAAACACAGACAATGTGAAACTGCTAAGCTCAATTTATCAAGTGGACCAAGTGTCCCCCCTCAATATCTACTGCTGAAGGTCTTTGTGGCTAGTTGTTGGCACAGGTTGCCAGTCAAATGATATCATAATATACTTTCCCAGCAGCTTTGGGGATGGTTCTGTTGCTTGTTGATCCACCATCCATGCCAAGGCTCATTATGCTTAGCTCTTGTTTACATTATCCTGTTGGCCTTGGCTTACCGCGCTCAGCCCGTTT